AATACTTGTTACACTGCATTGTTTAGGTAGTAATAACAAAGTCTCTACATAGTCAGTACACATGCAACCTTCCTTTTTTTCTCTCTGCCCCTCTCATGGTGGGGAAGGAACCCAAGGCCCTACATATGCGAATATCCCTTAATGTCAGCTACAACTTTAAAGGAGAAAGGATTCTGGGCACTAGTGGCTCACACTTGTAACCCTAACTACTCAGAGGACTGAGATGTCAGCCCGGCAGACAAATCCAAGACATTCGTGAATGAGAGAGTATTTCCACTGAGGCTGTCAGAATCCAAGGGCGTGGAACCTGAAGACTGGAAGGTTGACCAAATTTATAACACAATAAAACATGAAAATACTTCACTGAAATCTCCAGGTAGTCTTATAGAACACTGCAGGGATGGATCTCCAAGAGTTTTATGTGGTCTACCGGTAAAATCCAACCACTCATATTCACTCACTACAGTTGGAGAACAACTTCATAACCATACATTATAGCTTTTAAAGATTAAGATCAGTTGGGCGCTGGTGGCTCCAGGCCTATAATCTGGATGCCCTGGGGCTGAAATCTGAGAATCATGGTATAACGTCAGCCAGGGCAAAAGCTCAAAGTAGAGATACGGCTCAAGTGGTAGAGTGCCAGCCATGAATGAAAAAGCCAAGAGAGCAGAATGCTCATAGTTCAAGGCCCCCCAATGGAATTCAGATCAACTACAATGTAGAACCATACAGATGACTGTCTCACATAATACTGAGTGAAAGGGGCCAGATACAAAATAAATGGTAAGACTACTTACAGAAAACACTTAAAAAGGTTAGGACAGGGAAAGGAGAGGTCATGAAGGAGGTTCACAGTACCCAACACTGTTTATACAGGTGTTTTCATCTTAAGGTGTACATTTATGAAGGGTGTTTCTGATATTAGCTACATTTCATTTTGTTTCAACGTTCAAAAATTGGATTAACCACATTATGGAACATGCCGTATGATTCAGGTTAATAAGTACTTGTTAATGATGGACCTATACTTTCTTAGAGAATGAGCAAAGCAAATTAGTTCCTATTACTTATGGTACTTAATAGTTTATTTTTCCACTTCTCGCTTTAAACAATGAAATCTGTAAGAGGGAGGAAAGGGAGAGTGCCAGAGAGTGGTCGTATACTCTGTATACGACACATGGAGATGTCACAATGAAACCCCTCCCTTATATAACTAATGTGCACCAATAATCTCAGTAATCAATAATACAAAATGCTGTAAGTTTTTTCCTAACAAAATATTTAGGTTATCTAAGAATATGTTTTTAATCCAATAATTTTCTTGTACCTATATGTATATCTGCTTGGCTTATATCATAGTAATATTCAAACTAGAGGCAATCATATCTAAGTAAATACTGTAATTTTTTAACAAAATATTTAGTAAAAGACTTAGCAAAAACTAATACATTCATTTCAATAAACCATGTCTATTATTACTTTATTGATTTGTGTAAATACTTCCCATTAAGAACTAGTAGATTCAAAAGGATGGTACACCTAACCAATGTTCTTACTTAACTATATTCATGCAATTTCTTCATGAAGACAAAGGCACACAATGCTTTGATTAATAAGGTACATTCCTATAGGCTATCTGATTCCTGCCTTTATTTAAAGGATTGTCTGTAGTAACTTACTGATCTGATATTTTGGAGAAGTAAAATTGATAAAATGAAAAACTCCTAATGAGAGCCAGATTAAATACATTTCTTAATTAATCCAATAGATTGAATGACCCCACAAAGCCAAGAATTAAGGCTGGGAATGTGGCTTAGTGGTAGAGCACTTGCCTAGCATGCATGAAGCCCTTGGTTCGAGTCCTCAGTACCACATAAACAGAAAAGGCTGGAAATGGCCCTATGGCTCAAGTGGTAGAGCGCTAGCCTTGAGCAGAAGAAGCTCAGGGACGCTGCTCAGGCCCTGAGTTTTTGTTGTTTTTTTTTTGTTTTTTTAAAAGCAAGAATTGTCTTTGGAAAGCTTTAAAAGCACTATTCTATGATGCTAATATACCTAAGGTATAACTAAAAGTTCACTTCACAGTGAAATAATCTAGAAATCCAGTATCTTAAACTGCGTTATTGCTTTTAATAGCCAAGGAAGGCTTCCCTATCTGTAAGGGGGATTGTGTTTGAGCTGCCAGTATCTATTCTTGTTTCACTGATTCTGAGCACTCTGCAAATGACAAAACAGGTATAATGACACTGACAGAAGAGCGAAAGAAAGGCTGAAGAGCAGCTTTAACTTTAACACAACAACTGAGGAAAGCCCTGGGTATTTCCAGGGCAGAATACCAGAGTACAGGCAGGAGGCCTGTTGTCCTAGGGCTCCTTAACTGGATAGTTCTGGTTTAGGAAGGAAACAAACTTTTTAAGTCGACACAGGCAAGCACAGGTACTCCTATTTGGATGTAAAGATACTATGCTGAGCTGGAAGAGTCTGTTGTCTTTCACAGAAGGCCAAGCCAGGAATCCTCAGACACCCACAGTGTGTTCAATGAAAACTGGCATGCTGTGAAAAAGCTGCCCCACTAAGCCAGGGACCAGGGCTCAGCACTTGCCATCCTAGCTACTACTCCATAAGGTTCAAAGCTAGCCCAAGCAGAAAAGTCTGTGGGATCTCCAAAATCATCAGCCAAAAGCCAAGCTGGAGGCATGGCGCAAGCAGTAGAGTACAAACTGAGAAGAATAAGGTTCTGAATTTAAATTCTGGTATTGGTAAAAATTAAAACAAAAAAAGCTTGCACCTCCACTGAAAATTATTCTAAAATTTCCTAAGAGCCTTGTGGTAACTGGTAATACTGACAGACAAATGTATACCTCTAAGTACACAAGGAACTTACAGCCTCCTAAATTCTAAGTTCTATGTAATAACAGAATTGCTCCTGTAAAAAAAAAAATACTCGTCTGGCAAATTAGCAGGAAAAATTGTGAATTTCCAAGTCAAAAATGAACAGAGTAGTTTGGTGAGACACAAAACAAGCAAGCAGAAGGTGTATTTAATGTTGTTGTTGTTTTTTAAAGCAACACAAATTTCAACCTGTTTGTAATGAATATAAAGTGACACAATACTTCCTTCGCTGATACACATATTAATTACAAGTTATTTTCCAACCAGATTGCTTAAAGCTAGACACGGCTTCTCTTCTTAACTGAAAGTAAGCTAGATGAAAAGTTAGCAATTAAGCCAGTCACCTGGAACCTAGATACCAAGAAGGCCAACTTATACTAAAGAATGGCTGATCTAGAATACTAAGTTCTTATTATATTCTGGCATGAACACATTACAGGTAAGTACTCAGTAACTTTGGCCTATACCACAGGCCCAAGAAACTGTTTTCAACTTGCCTCACTTCTTTGGTATCTTGAAGCTCATGGAAGGAAGCTATGAGAAATAACTTAAAACATACTGAAGCTGCCTTCAGAGTGTTCTTAAATTAAAATACACTGAAGCTGCCTTCAGAGTGTTATTCTTTTCTCTCTTCTACAAAAAGTATAAAGTATACCCCCCAACACAGTTATTTGATGAAATATTTGAATGTCTAAATTTTCATGTTTCATGTCATAACTTTACAATTTATATTGCTCTAGTCAAACTACTTAAAATTGATTCTATAAAAAGTACTGTAAATTTTAAAACTTCGCATTCTAAAAGACGACTGTTAAAAAAAAAACACCATTATTGGGGGCTGGGAAGGTGGCTCAAGTAGTAGAGCGCTAGCCTTGAGCTGAAGAGCTGAGGGACAGTGCCCAGGCCCAGAGTTCAGGCCCCAAGACCGACCAAAAATCAAAACAATACAAAAAAAACAACCCACCATTATTTTGTTAACTAAAGAATACACCACCTAAAAGATACTTTGTTTAATAGTATCTTTAGATAGCACACACAAACAAGACGTTTTATCATTTCTACGCAATGGAGTCCATGTCTTAATATGACAATGTACATGCATTCTGGATACTCTTTTTCTTACAGAAGAGATGAAGTTGAGTCTATAGGTGTTATCCAAAACTATGCCAGAAGATACAAATGCGTTGCCAGGCAGTTAAAAGAATCTAACAAGCTTTGTGTGAATTTTAAAAATAATCTGAGTTTAACTTCTATAGTCAAACACAGAATGATGGAGTGCTAGTACTCAGCAAAGTAACTGAACAGAGCATACACTACTTAAAACGTGTGTTAAGCAGAAAGATAAACCAAAGTATTTTTTACCAAAAATTAACTCCAAGATTTCGTTCTACGTGTGTGTGTATGTGTGTCCACATGTGCGAACCGCACACCAGTACTGGGGTTTGAATTAAAGGCCTCGCTTGGCTTTTTTGCCCAAGGCTGGTGTTCTACTATTTGAACCACAGCTCCACTTCTGGTTTTACATTGGTTAACTGGAGATAAGACTCTCAGGGACTTTTCTGTCCAGGCTGGCGACTGCAATGCTTAGGTCTCAGCCTCCTGAAGAGAGGATTGAGAGGATTATAGGAATCAGCCACCAGTGCTTGGCCTATAGAATCTATAAGATAGCTCTGAAAGAAAACTTCTAATAATGTAAATCTAGTCAACTGTAGCAAACACACTGGGTGATAAAATCTCGTCAAAAATTAATGACTAGTTCTCATCTTGTTTCAACTTTTAAATTTGAGTTATTTTTCTTTTACACAGAAATCATATAAACAGAAAACAATTAAAGCAAGTGTGGTTAATTTTACACTTCTGCATTAAAAATACACTAGGTAAATAGCTATTTCATATCAGTAGGATATGTAAATATCCTTCAGGAAATATACTTAAGAAAATATGTTGATATTCTATGTAAAATATAGATTGTCCTTTTGGTTTATTTTGCTGCTTTTCCCATGCTAGGTATCATGTGGTTTTTCCCCCTTAAAATAACAAAGCTCAGTCTTATGCAAAGCAATTCATGCATACACTTTTGCATGTATGCATTCCATATTAAGTATTCATACCTATCCCAGAGGCTCTTTGATTCCTGAAACGTGTTCAAATGGAACGCTTGGTAGAAAGCAGTTGAAGGATTCCTGTGAGATCCAAGAATCAAATGGAAATGAGATTGAGAATGTACAGTAAAATTACTTTTTAAAATGGAAGTTTATATTTTAATACAATATAACTGATTTAATAAAAAAAAAAGGCGAGACTCTGTAAAAGTGCTTAACACAACACTTGGAAGGAAATTAAAAATATACAACATCCAATAGACACCAATAAGCGAAAACTAAAGTTCTAAAAGAGATCAGATAAAATCCTAGCATCAATTTTGTATATATACACACAGCTTATCAATACATTGTGTGAGAACACTTTTTAAAAATACCTGTTTAGTGGTTTAACAAAGCTGTTGTAAAAAGCTATACTATCTATCAAGGAAGATTTGCTCAAAGTGAGAAGAGTTTTATAATAAACCATGATGGGTGAGTACAATGTCCCCTCTGAAAGGGGAAAGCCTGTTCACCAGAATGACCACACGTTTCTTTTTTTTGAATTCAGGGCCTGGGCACTGTCCCGAGCTTTTGTGCTCAAGGCTAGCACTCTACCACTTCAGTCACAACTCTACTTCTAGCTTTTTGTGTGTGCTTAATTGGCAAAGAGTCTCATGTACTTACTTTTCCTGCCGAGGTTGGCTTCAAACCATGACCCTCAGATTTCAACCTCCTGAGAGCGAGCACTGTAAGCACGAGCCACCCATGCTGGGTGGGTCATCCCTTTCTGCCAATCCTAAGAACAACTCCCAAGAGCTAACACCACTGAATCCTGACTAATTGCTGATCTGGACAAGCTTTCAGTATACAACTCAGGAGTAGTTTCTCCAGAAACTAAATACAAAACACAATAAACACCACCACCACCACAACCCCAAGCCCCAAACTTGGGAGAGTGAAGAGTGACAAAATATACTCATTACCTGACTTATATAACTGTGTAACCCCCTCCGTGTATCACCTTTATAACAATAAAAGAAAGAAAAACAAACAAACAAACCCAAACCTCAGGGCCTCCCATTTACTACTAGGCAGGAACCAGGCCTCAACCTCTTGGGCTAGTTATTTTAAGATTCACAGAGCCTGGGACCCTAACTTATACTTCCCACTGTCTTCTATTCAGTCTTGTGAACTTTGTCTCTTCCTCCTCCACCGGTTTTAAACATCAATCTTCCAAGTAGGTATAAGATCACAGACAAGAGCCACTGAACCTCAAAGCCTAGTTCAAGGACCAAAACTTTTGACCAGCTTGCTGCCCAATAGTTTTCTCTCCTCTTCAGCTTAGATCTATAGCCTCCCTGACCACCAACTGAAACTTCCAGGAAGCTGACCAATACTTTCGTATCACTTTAATCATCCTTGACCTGTGCTATGCTTTAGCAGTAACTAATACATGCTCATCCCTCACCAGGTATTATTCTAAGTGCTTCAGTGGGTCCATTTTTGCAACAGATAACTAAAAAGAGTAAGAGTCATCATTCCCATTTAACACCAGAAAACTGGGTCGTAGAGAAGTAACTTGCCTGATGGTCCTAGTTTTTATCTTTTAAAAACCACAACATTAAACATAGCAGAGTTAACATTTGACCTTAATAGATCTCTTTATCCCTGAAATGACAAGTCTATTATTGAGTCTGGCAGGATAGTGAGCTAGTGATAGTATGTCTAGGCGTCAATGCTCAAAACCTGCTATTTTATACACAAAATGAAATTTGTATACAACTGCCTTCTGAGGGCCTAATAATGCCTTCAGTTCACAGAAGTATGAGTACAGATAAAAGTTTACTGAAATAAAGTGTCAATGATTATCAAGACAACACGCAAGAATCCCAATTTTGAAACTTACACTGTGACAATTTTCTTTTTTTGTCAGTAATGGGGTTTGAACTCTGGGCCTGGGTACTGTCCCTCAGCTCTTCAGTTCAAAGAAGCACTCTGACCACAGAGCCACCTCCGATTTTCTGGTGGTTTATTGGAGATAAGGGTCTAGGCCTGATGGGAAGGGAGGTGAAGGGTAAACGGAGGAGGCTGCAATGCTTGGTAAGAAATGTATGCATTATCCTGCCCATGTAATGGTAACCCCTCTGTACAGTATGTTCTCAAATAAAATAAAATAAAATAAATTTAAAAAAAAAAAAAAAAAAGGGTCTCAGCCTTTCCTGCCCGGGCTGGCTTTGAAGTGTGATCCTCAGACTTGAGCCTCCTGAGTAGCTAGGATTATAGGCATGAGCCACTGGTGCACGGCCACTGAGAATTTTTTAAAGTTCAGTTTCTAGGAGTTCATTTTAAAAAGGCATTTTTCATTCTGAACAGTAGATACATCTTAGGTATCCCAGGAAAGGCTCAGAACCAGAGTATCAACCAAGTAGCTGTTTCTAAGTGTTCTTTAATCCTGTCTGCTCATTGCTTTTCCTCCTCTAATTACTTTCTAGTCTTTTAACTTTCTTAAAACTTTTATCTTAACTAGGTCTAAGGACTCAAAGGGACTTTAGTAGCACCTACCAATAACAAGGCTTAGAAGGTTTCCAACTTTTCTATTTAACATTCCAAATCCTCAAGATACATTTGTAAAGTAACTTTTTTCCCCAGTAACTTTTTTCACTGCACGCAAAAATAGTCTGCAAAAATCAAATGAAAGTCAAATAAGCCAAATGAAAAATCAATTTGACTTTTTATTTAAATCAGGCCTAAGCTAGAGGTGTGGCTCAAGTGGCAAGAGCAATTATGAGTTCAATCTCCAGTATGGTCCTTATCCAGGACCGTATAGTAACTAGTTTGATGGCTTCAAAGGTCTGTTTAGAAACTTCAATTCAAATGGAATGAGTCAAAGACGAAGGTAGTAAATAGAAAATAATGGAGTAAACCTGGAAGTTATTTTCTGTCTGGAATTATTAAAGTGACGACTTATTTGAAACTAAGTATATTTAAAAGGATTACATTTTTTTTAATAAAAAAAAAAGCTTGATTTCCTAACTTTGTCAACACGAATACTTAATTTGAAATAAATCATCAACCGCCGGGTGCTGGTGGCTCACGGCTGTAATCTTAGCTACTCAGGAGGCTGAGAGCTGAGGATCGCGGTTCAAAGCCAGCCCGGGCAGGAGAGACCATGAGACTCCTATCTCCAAAAAAAAAAAAGAAAAAACCCACCAGAAAACCGGAAGTGGCGCTGTAGCTCAAGTGGTAGAGCGCTCACCTTGAGCTGAAGAGCTGAGGGACAGCACCCAGGCCTGGAGTTCAAGCCCCACGGCCAACCAAAAAAAAAAAGAAAGAAATCATCAACCAAATAAATTGGTTTCAAGTGAATTCATATGACTTGCAATGAAATTCAGGGGTATTCTTTGTTGCTGTTGTGTTGTTTTTTGGTGTTAAAATCTGTTTCTTGTAAGCCAAATGTAAAGTGAAAAAAAGAATAGCCGGGCGCGGGTGGCTCACACCTGTCATCCTAGCTACTCAGGAGGCTGAGATCTGAGGATCCTGGTTCAAAGCAGCCCAGGCAAGAAAGTCCTTGAGACTCTAATCTCCAATAAACTGCCAGAAAACTGGAAGTGGCGCTGTGGCTCAAGTGGTAGAGCGCTAGCCTTGAGCTGAAGAGCTAAGGGACAGCGCCCAGGCCCAGAGTTCAAGCCCCACAACCAACAACAAAAAAAGATATATGTAGTCAACAGTAAACCTTGGGGGAGTGAAAAAAAAAAAACAAAAAAAATACACAAGAAATGAATTTAATAGTCTTTAAATATGTTAGATTACAAAGCTCACAAAAATCATTTTCCCACATATACTCCAAATAAAGAAAACATTTAGTTATACAATCTGAGAATTATGGAAATTTTAGGGTCTAGATTCTAAGGATAAAAAATTTAGTTTTATGAGAAATTTGGAGCAGAGGATTTAGCCCAGTAGAAAAGCACCTAACAGTGTTAGACCCTGGGTTGATACCCAGCTGAATAAATAACAAGTTTTATTCATTTCTAGGATATTTCAACTAGATGTAGTTTACAAATTAGGAAAGTTGTATAGCAAAAATCACCAATAAGTAGTTTCAAAGTATTCTAAAGGAGTTAAGTCTAAAAAAAATTAGCCAATTAAGAACTTCAAGGGAGTATAGGAAAAAAGAGCCATTTGTGTTTGTAAACACTAATGGGTATGAACAGAGACTAGAGCTTTAGGACATAAAAACTGAGGGAATTAAGAGGCCAAGGAAAAGCTGTTAATAGATCATGTCATGGCTCCATTCTAGGATACCTGAATTTTTTGAGTGCTGGTTCTGAGACTTGAACTCAGAGCCCTTCCCTTGTGTGGCATTCTCGCTCAAGGCTGGTGCTAACGCTGGAGCAACACCTCCACTTCCGGGTGGTTCACTGGAGAACCCTGGCAGCCCCGGCTGCTCCAAACTGAGATTCTCAGATCTCAGCCTCCTGAGTAGCTATGGTGACAGGTGTGAGCCACCAGTGCTGGTCATTTTCTAACAGCTTAGTTTATGTTAATATAAGCTATCATTTTAAGTAATGAGCCAGTGAAGCAATTCTTAGAATAAAGATTTTATACTACTTTATTTCAGCCACCTAAATGAAAATAGTATTTTCCTATTATTTGAGGACATTTTTAAAAACCACTTAACAATCTTTACTACCTAATTTTATAATAAAGCCTGTCATATAAATTTCCTGGAACATGAAAGTAGTATATCAGGAAGTAACAAAAAACATGTAATACGTCTACTTGCTTTGACAAGATCTTCAGGTAACTTTAATAGGAAAGGATGAGGAAAAAAGCCCCAAACACATACTTATGCCCTATACTTCAAAACTAAATGAAAAAAGAAGATACATGAATCCTAAACTCAATAAACACCTCTTTCACTGTATCAAAACAGAACTTAAGAGATCTAAGTAGAGGGCTGGGAAGGTGGCTCAGTGGTAGAACACTTGCCTTGCATGCTCGAGGCCCTGGGTTCGATTCCTCAGCATCACATAAGCAAGAAGAAAAAAGCCGGAAGTGGTGCTGTGGCTCAAATGGTAGAGTGCTAGCCTTGAGCT